CCGTCTGTGTTTTAACAGGTTATGTCTACCTGTCTGCACAAGAAGACCACCCCGCATCCTTGCAGTTACATCACATGCTATGGGTGGTTGGCACGGCAACAGACAGGAAGGGCATTGCCACAGCAGCCCTAACAAATCGGTACTCGCTTTACAGAAGTTTCCTTTTCATGTGGAATCTAATGATTCATCTCTTAAATCATCTAAGGCCATGTGTAATGAGTCGAAGTTTTGAAGTCAACCCAAACAGTTTAGATTAGAGAAGATTATAATCAAATCAAAAGCAACTGTAAGGACTTAAAAAACCCTTATTAGAGGAATAAAAAGTTTAAAAGCAAGGGTTTCTTGTTTCTTTAAGCTCTAAGTACAGTGGTGGAAGAAGTATTCAGAATATTGAGCAAACGTAGTAATACCATACAGTAAAAAAACGTTTTTATTATATAAGTTTATATTATATTATAAGTCCAACATTCAATGTTTCAGTTGAAAATACAAATGTAACACCAAGTTTGAGACCTGACTTGGACAAATTTATCCATGTTTCACATTTTGGCCCAGGAAAATGGTTAATAAATGGCATTTGCTGTGAGTGCCTCTTATTCACCAGTTCACACATTCAGTGGCAGCGGAGCTATTTTTATTGCCACACGTCTGGCTTTAGTTTTTAAAAATCTGGCCTAAGCATTAATAATAGGCCTCGGCCTCGGCTTTGGTCTCAGTAAGCATTCAGTGCCCTTCAAGAGTTGTAAAACGAGTTCGTTAACATTGTTGTGAAGTTATGGAGACCTGAAACTTGCCCCAGAAAACTGCCCTAGAAAACTGCCCCAGAGCTGGCACCCCATGTACTGGAGAAAATATAAATAAATAAATAAATAAATAAATAAATAAATAAATAAATAAAACATAATTTCGTCTTATACATGTAAAAAAATAAATATATATATATCTGCAAGGTATCTAGTACATGAAGCTGTTGAGAGTCAACAGTACAATACTTGTGGAGTACAAATATAAAGTACAGTATAAAGACCATCACCACCACTATCATCTTGTAATAGGGTTCGAAGCTCCAGCAAGAAAGAAAGTGGACCTTGAGTGAAGATTGAGCTGTTAAGTTCAACTTTAACACCAACATTTATTAGAAATCCAAAAAGTGCTCAGAAAAAAAGGAAAGTTTGTTCCATGGCATCTGGAAAAAAATACCTGCTGCTGGTCTCCGTTAGCAGCAGGTATTTTTTTTTAGAGGCAAAACCTCAGGAACAAGCATGTAAGTGGAGACTTTTTTTTTTTTTCAAAAGTAGCATAAAAGAGAAACACTCAAGTACAGCAGCAGTACTTTAAGTGCAGTCGCTCACTAAGTGTAACCTGACAGCATCCAATCTCGTGCAGCAGAGATAAAGAAATAGACACATGACACACATTAGCCTCAGGCTGCACCAGACTGCCAGACTCCCTCCCTCTGTTCTCCATCTTATCCTCAGCTCTCTGAAAGGCAAGTCCAGACAAGTCCTCTGTCTCTGCCTCCCTCTTGCCTATTCGGGAAGGGCCTGAACTGCAACAGAGCGGCAACCCACAGAGCAAACATCCGACCTGACTCCTGCTGCCCTTCAGCCAAAACAAGCAGGACACGACACGCCTCGGTGCAGCTGGCCTCTCACTCACTTACCTGGGGAGAAAACACAGAGGAGAGGGTGTGGAGGCTATGGATCATAGGAGAGAGAAGAAAAAGACTATACATTTGTATTGTATTATAATGTACAAGTATAATGTACAAGTATGGCTCAATGAAAGGTGGAGGAATAAAACCTAAAATAAAACAGCAACTCAAACTGATTTCTGAGAGTAAGAAACATGAGAAGTATGTCCATTTTTGAAAAAATAATCATTTATATTTCATAATATAATCCTTTTAAAAATAAAATTAAAAATAAAATCCATTTCCTGTTAGCATACCTTTAGGGGAATAGTGCAACATTTTGGGAAATACGTACATTCACTTTTTTGCCAAGTTGGATGGAAATATTAATACCACTCTTGTGTCTCCACCAGGTCTGCATGCAAACAGCCTGGCACTCGGCCAGGCACAATAACTGGGGAGACCGAGAACGCTATATAAGCCTCCACACACATAACCTCCTGTGAAACTATAATATGTAATTTTGTACAGATTACATAAATACAATATAACATGTTAATTATGGAGCTTTTAAAGGTGCTGGCAGGCGGAATTAGTTACAGAGCCGGGCTAGCCACCTGTTTTTTTTTTTTTAAAGCAAGAAAGTGGATTTTTCCTTTAAACAATAAGTTTTCACATTCATCTGATGAAAGTAGAAACTTTCTGTGTGCTCATTGAAAATCTGATTTTAAGGGGCGGGGCCTACGAGCATGATTTGTGACATCACAAGTAGTCCGGAAGTCTTTTCTGGTCCAATATTGAACTTACACAAGTGTGATGTAGAAACTTGAAGCCACAAGTGGACAAACACTGAGAATTGACTTGTGTCCAGCTTGAGAAATTAATACATGTCTGGAGGGGATCTTTAAATTTTTAACAACTTTTTTCCAGGACATACGAGAAAAATTCTGACTGAAGTTAGAGAAAAGAAACAAGGACTGAATAATGAATCTTGTGTCTGAGGTCATATTCCTGCACTTCCTTCTGAATCAGTGTTGTTCGAATGTTCCCCTCTGTGTGTGTTTGTTGATGCTGGCAGCGTGTGGGTATGTGACCAGAGAGCAGTTTACACCACTCGCTCATCTAGTGCCAGGAGAAGTAAACACACACCAACACACACGGAGACAGACAAAGAGGGATCCAGAGCGGGGAAACTGTTACAAACCGAGTCACACACATTGAGAGGAACCTAATTTGATGGAGCTCTTACTCCCTGGAAAATAAACACTCCTCTGGCCTAATTTGGACTGTTGCTCCTTCCGTCAGCCCCACACATACAGTCAGACGATACAATGGTCCAGTGTGCACCCACTCAAACATCCCGCTAACTGGAGAATAGAAACTAGCCGTGGGGGAGGAGATTACCCCTTGATCTTTACTCTGCTACCAATCTGCCCACTCTGCTGCTTCAGTCCCATTCCTCACCCTGTTCACCTCACAAGCTCCTCCTCTTCTGGCGACGGTGACAAGATTTGAGTAAGAGATGGTAAAAATGTGGATTTACTGGTTTAGATGCATAGGTAGGTCACCCATGACATAAGCGAATATCTGCCCCGCTTTGGTGTCTTTGAGCAGGACTCCAGATCTTCGTATAATGCTAAACCTGCACTCTGACACTGTGGAGGTGGAGAAAAGGTCAGAGCAGAGTCAGAGCATACATGGAAGCCATTTTTCAACTCATGCATTTGCTTCCATGGCGACAAAACATACAGTACAGTGTGGCATCGCTGCAGGGCACGTTAAATAACTAGATTATCATTATAACCCCTGGTACAATACTGCTTCAGTGACAGAAGAGTTCAGCTCAGATTAAGGCTCCAGGTAGCTACAGTGAGCACTCAACCACAGACACATTCCACTTCTGCAGATTAATCTCTGTTTGGATAGATCTGCCACTTCAATATGCCGGGAATTCACCTCATCACACTTCAAAGGCTTTCTCTGTAAACTGGATGGGAACGAGATTCCCCGCAGCCATCATTCACATCACGCCACAAAGCAGCAAGAGGAAGTGACAGGTTGTCAAATTGTAACAGTTCACTTTTGATTATATTTATCATATGTTCCAGCAGTATGTACTGTCTCAGGAAGTGGCTGGAAATAACCAGTTACTGTACTTGACAACTTATAATATATATATAATGTATGTCTATAAGACTTTTTTGTGTGCTTGTACTTGAGTGAAACAAAAAAGAATAAATGAGGCTTACTTCCATAGTTGAGACAACTACAAATGCTGTTAGCTTCCCATTAAGCATCACAAACAGCTATATGGTATATATATATATATATATTATTATATATATATATGGTTAAGCCAGGAAGCAGAAATTAAACCGACTATTTTCTCTGTTAAGGTCTGCTTCTTGGGTTCTTCTTGTCCAAATCAAGGCTCCAAATATAGAGGGTGTCATGCTTTACAGATTATAAAGCCCTTAGAGAAAAAATTGTGATATTGGACTATATAATTAAGATTTCTGAGCATTATTTTGTTATTTTTTACTCAATCCATTTTAAATTCTGTTATATGTATGCTGCTCTTTTCTTCAAAAAATACCTTGGTAACTTTGAATTGCTTTTAAAGAAATAGGCTCATCTTTAAATTCACCAATGCAATACTTTTACTTCTACTTAAAACAGAGTTACCAAACACAGACATTGTATGTTCATAGTGCTCGAACATCAGTCACTCTAGAGGCCTCCTGCGTTGTGGGGGAGGCTCCTAAACACAATCCAGTTACCCTCACTGGGGCTTAAATCCGTGTGTGTGGCAAAGATGTTGATCCGTGTGGCGTCTACCAAGAGATTTTCACCTGCTCAGGTTCAACTCTCCGTGCTGGGAGAGGGCTCTGCAGTTACTGTGTCAACCACTCATCTCAATTCTCATGCAGTTTGCACAGAAATGTTGCCACCCACGTTGTTAAGTCGTATGTGTCGGCTACTGTAAGGAATCTGTATTGTACTTATGGAAAGACTGACACCTGTGGTTGGCCTGTTGTTTAGTCTACTCTGACATTTTCTTTCCTTTGTGCCCAGCACCTGGAAGATTTCTCAACTTGACTTCTGCTTATGGTTAGTTAAAGTAAAAGGGAAATCACTGAATAAATGTGATATATTCTTTGGTTAACAGCACCAGTTCAGAGACTTTACTTTACCCACATCAACACCTCCCTCTAGTGGAGAACAATTGACAACAGGGGGAATGATTTTCTTCTGTGAAAAGTTAGTATGTAGTATTAGTAGTAAGTGAAGTATTTCTCGTTGTTTTAAAACCCCAGTGGATACAACCTTCTATTATAAAGACATTAATGAGAGTTAAAGGCAGTGGCAGGGTTAAAAGGTTTTACTGTAGTGCTACAGTATGCAACAGGTATGAATGAAAACATTGGGCAACATGTTCTGTGTAGTTTCGTTCCATATGATGAAAATATCTGGCATGTAGAATCTCCACAACATGGCAGTAGAATAGAAAACAGAAAAATAATGAAACGAATAAACAAATTAAGGTGTAAATAAAAGCATTCAAAGAGTCGACTTCCTTCTTTGTGCTCGCTGAGTCTCTCCCATTGGGTAGATCAGTACTGGCAATGGAGACTGAAATGCAAGGGTTAAAAACCAGTAAAAGCCAAGATCACAGATCTGGCTTTGTATAGCACAACCATAATGGCTTACTTGCACACATGTGCTCCCTCACGCACACACACAAACACACACACACACATACATATATATACAGAAAATGTGACAAACCCACACAACCCTGGGAGAGCGATTGTCACCCCTGGTCTCCGTCCTCCAAGCTGAATTAGATTAGGAAAGTCAAGGTTAATCACCCAATAAATACATTCTGAAATCTCTTTTTGAAACAAAGACACATCCAGACAAATATATACAAATTGATTAAAAGAAAAAAAACAACAAAACAATTGATTAAGTGTTTACATCTTAAAACAGTCACTTGAACGTGGTGTGGACCAAGATGCACACACAAACCACTTCTATTAGGCCAGAGAATCTTTCTTGTTTTTCTTCCCCCCACTTGTTCCCTCTGTCCCTTCCTCTACACGCTGCCTCTCTATGTAACTGATTGTACACACTAGTGTCATGGTCTAGACCTAAGCAGTGCTATGCTATTATCCCTTCTGTTACAGCACTACAGGCACACAAATACAAAGACACTCTGTTTGGCTCTCTGCCCTGCCTCGTCCCCATTATCCTTCCTTCCTACGTGTCACTACAAACACACAGAGTGCTCCCTGTAAACAAGTACTCTTTGTCCTTTCGGATTATAAATACTGTTTTGGTAAAATCATCATCATTAAAAGATGAGACAGAGTGTAATTGAGCGTACATCAATACAAAACACACAGAATTGCACTGTTGGAAGATATTCCTTCTTCGTTTTTATATGTTGTGTTTCTCTTCTTCTTTTTGGCTTTAGCGTTAAGGCCCAAAAATCTGGAGTGGAAGTGTAGTAGGAGTCCAAGCGGTGATCTGCCTGCGCCCATAGGGCCTACTGTGTACTGTAGGTACGAACAACACACATACAGGCACACTAACAGATAGACGGTATTGCAGGGCAATATAAAAAGACACTAAGGAATGGTGAAACATCCTCTCTGTCATTTCTTTTTGTAAAATCATTCATCATACATTTTTATATTTTTTATTCAAAATTCTTTTTTTAGCCGTGCTTGTCTTTCATCCCTCCTTTCCTGTCCAAAGTGCGTGGGTGCCGGTGCTGTTTCAGTCTGGCTACACTAGGGGGTGCCGTTCCTCTCTGCAGATGACTGACAGGCGGTGGCTGTGGCTGTGTTTATTGCTATAATGTCTGTGCTCCTCCCTTCCTAGAGGAAACAAAAAGGGACAAAGTTGCCCTCCTAAGACTGATCTGAGGTCTCTGCCCTCATCTGCTGATTAGTGTCTGTGCTTTTTTTGGAGGGCTCTGATGCCAGATCAGTGCCGGAGGAGGGAAACTCCTCCCCCGTGGAGCGTGCTCAGGTGAAGACGTAGTTGAGGAGGAGCTGTGAGAGGAGCAGAACGCAGAGGATGAGACAGTGACGGCCTGTTAACGACACGCCTTCGTCTGTCGCCCTCTGACGAGTCAACTGACGACTGAGAGCCACCAGGTTCCTACAGGGAGAGAGAAGGGTCAGGGTGAACAAAGTGTTTAACAATGCTCTGTGTTAATCACAATAAAAAACATAAATCAGTGCAGAACAACCCTCTTACAAAGGAAACTCGTGAACTACTCAATAACATTTTTACAAATGTACCGACCTCATTTTGTATTCATCCTATTGTGGATATGAATGTGTTTCTAATGCTGCTTTTGAATCAAGTGTAAAAAAGTCTTCCACTGTGTGCAAACGTGTGTTATTTTCACCTCTGGATGTCCTGCTGTGTCTTCTGTATTGATGTGATGGAGGCCTCCATCATGGCAATGTCCTTCACCTCTTTATTGCACCGTGCACACTGGTTGGAGAACCCTAGGCACATGGCAGATGAGAGCATTAAATTAGGATTTTGTGTGTGCGTGTGTGTGAGAGTGAGTGTGTGTGTGTGAGTGTGTGTGTGTGCGTGTGTGTGCGTGCCTCACCTTCATTGTCCGAGGACTCGTGTGTGGGCTCTGGTGTGGTGCTGCTGCTCTCGGTGTTCTGGCTGCAGCTGGACGGCTGGCTGCTGGCCTTCCTGCGTTTCCCATTCAACTCAGCCTGAGAGGAGGCAGAAGAGTCTCACTGTAAGTTATTCACTGCAGACAAATTGCCTGTGAGCTGCTGGCTGATGCAACAGCTGAATAAAGACAGGTTTTAGCTGTCTGGGCATCACTGCAGCGGATAACAAGTAAGAAAGAAAGGTGCTGATCATGCCTGTCAGTGATTTCGGAGTCTGGCTTGACCACAAGCAGTGCAGCTTGTGGTCAAATTGGTCTGGCTAACCTTTTGCTGGCTGGCCCAGCTGTGGCTGTAGGAGAGTCCGTTGTGTTGCCTCTGGCTTTTCTCGTGCGTCTGAATCACTCCGTCCTTCTCAAACTGAACCAGACAGCGCTCGGGGTCCCACGGCTGCGTGCTGCAAAACAACAGACAATATATTCAGCTAGGGATGCCATGTTGTTTGTTTGTTTGTTTATGGCTTATTTGGTAGGGACAGATACAGTAAACGTAGACAGGCTGAAAACAGTTATCTGATGCATAGTGTTTATAGCGTGTGCTAATTTGCAACACCTGTCCCTAGAAGGGCTTTTATGATAATAAGAGAAGACAAAGAGTATAGAGAATAAATCTGAACATGTCCTTCCTCTACAGCTCAATCCTTGTTACACTGACATCGTGTATCATTTCCTGTGTTTTATGTGCTCAGTGTTACGGTGTGTTCATACTCCATGTGCCTGTAGGTCCACTCGGATGTGACGGGGTCCTGATGGAAAAGTCGTGAGGTCCAGGCTTTGTCTCCTCTCTCCCTGGCCTCTCTCCGCTGAGCTTCCTCCAGCACAAACTTCTCCTGGGTGGCCCGCAGCTGGTCCCGATCCATGATGGCACTGGTCACATGCTGCCACAGTCTGTCCGGAGAACATTATAATTAAATGAGCATGAGGCAGACATATTGTACGCGTGTTATTGAAGTCAGCAGGGTTAGGATTAGAGAGCTTTCTCACAGCAGACATTTCATCCAGCACAGTTGTAGCTAACAACATCAATAATGGGTGCATTTCATTTAGGCGTCAGTCCCAGAGCCCTGGTATTGCACATGTTTGCTCACATACTGACACACCTAAATGCATGACATTAATGTTATTATTTACAACTGTATTTTACCTGCAAAATGTATGCTGTAAGAAAGATCTTTAATCCTGTTTATTTCAAATGAACACAGTGATTGAGATATGAATTAAGTTAGGAGATAAGCACATCTGTTTTACCTTTCAGACTCAAACTCTCCCTGCTGGTCTATTTGGACCACTTGTCTCTTGAGGCGGCTGCCACGAATGTCTGGGCTCGGGTTCCACAACGTCTCCTGCTGTCCCGAACGTTTCTCGTGAATGAACACCTCACTGTCCTGAACGCAACAGAAAGGCAACAAAATGTTCAGTCCCATCGATCAAAGCCGATTCATCATACAGACCTCTCAATTACCTTATCTCCTTCTTGCCCTGCTGCTCCTGAACCTCTAATGACCAAATTCTGCCTCTAATTACTAAAGAAAACGACTGAATACTGAGTTGAAGTGGTGGAGAGGGATGCTAAGGGATGAACTTAAGAGGAAGATTGATGCGGCAGGCAGAGACAGAGAGATAAAAGCTCTCACCCAGTGTCCATCAACGGTGGCCAGCAGCTCGTCTCCCACTGAGATCTTCCCGCTGATCTGATTTACAGAGCAGGCGCCTCCAAGGAAAGGCTGCAGTGAACAAAGTGAACACTTTTACTAAAACTGCTGATATCTCAGAATGAAATGTATTCATTGCTGAATAGTCAAGCAACTATTATAATGTAAAATAACTAGTCAACGTACATTTACAAACATTACTAATGTGTAAAAATATACCTTGAGTTTGAACTCCAGCTCTGTGAAACATTTGGTTTTCTCACACTCAATGGTAACCTTCCCACCCAGCTCTAGTGTCATAGTGCCGTACAGGATACCTACAGGAGGCACAGGCACAGTATTACAGCATCAGATCAACAGCAAATCAATGACCACAATGTAGATGAGAAGAACAACAAAATCCTGCAGAAAATCCAGTGATAAATCAGACCCGTGTTCATGTCTGGCCAGGGATATAATTTATGATCTAGGCACTCTTAGTAAGCGCATTCTTTGACTGGACTGAGACAAGATAAACCATAATTTACAACATACCCTTGTACACTCGGAGAATAAACAGAAATCCGACCTGACTTAAGATTCCACCCATCATCCATCTCAAATTTTTGGCCGACTGCCACGTGAGATTTCATGTTCAGAGCAGAGCACTATTTGATTTACAGTAGCTTAGACATATTGGCTACTACAGACGGCTGCTAAAGTTACGGCCCACAAATGATTTGTCACAGTAGACAGATTCATTGTATCCATGGTAGATGGGTTTGTGTGTTAACCTAGAGCAGTGGTTGTTAAACTGAGGAGCTTGGCGACAGACAGACAAGGTCAGTTGGGTGAGGCAGGAACAACGAAATATACATGTTCAGTTGTTGTGTAAGAACTTGAATTGCTCCATTAGCAGAGTATTCTTGTGAATTCCACCTCTTAAACTGAACTACGCTTTTAAAATCCTAAATTGCTGACAATTTCACAGGACTTCTTCTAATTGATGAAAAGTGCCAGAGGTCTTTTTAGATGCTCATAGGTCCACAATGAACCTCATGCATTCATTCATTCAGTCATTCACTCACTCACAATATCCTATCTGCACCCTAGACACCGTCGGGTGGCTTGGAAAACTGAAGATCATCCAATCCAGTCCTTTCTGTAATATATAGTGTAGTTCATGCCTGTCACAGTGTGTGTTCGTGGTTTTATTTACTGACATACAATGGATTAGTATAATCTAAACCACTAGTCTAACCATGTATTTAACTAGCAAATAGATCCAACAGTATTTAAGGGGACAGTGATGTTGACTTTTCAACTTTTAATTAAGAAAATTGGCAGCATTAAGTGGGAGATCAACACCAAAAATGACCTTTTATCTCCTCACAGAGTGTTTAAACATATGGTAGTAAACAATAGTCTACACAATAGTTTTTTTTTAACCAAACAGATGACGCAGTATTAAGCAGATTATGGAAACCCACTGCCAATGTTAACATAGCAACAAGGACATGGACAGATTGATTAGTGGTGATGGTCATTAGCATTTACTGTAGATCTAGGTTACCTTTGCAGTGAGCGTAGGGCATGGTGATGACATACTCCTCACCCCTGCTTATAAACAGCAGCCTGGCTTTGCCATCCAGAATAGCTGACAGAGAGTTACCTACAACAGAAAGGGACAGGGTTCAATTTTCCTTGTAGATTCCCCCCTTAGAAAGCGTGTACTGACAGCCATCCCTGGTGCCTCGAAGCAAGAGTGGGAATCTCCACATGCATGCACGAAGGGATCAAAATGGTGACTGACTTTAAATGTGTGTGTATAGGTGTATGCTGATTACACATTGTAGTATGCTGTGTACCATAGAACTTGGACTTGGCCAGGATGCTCCCACTGATAGAAAAACCATCCTTCCTATTGCAGACATAAAAGGCAGAGATGGGCGGATGGTGGGACACCTGGCAGAGGAAAGAGAGAGAGACATTTGAGCAGCTGAGAGAGAAAAAGAGGTGTCAGATACCCTCTGGCGCATATTCATTTTACACTTGCTGAATTTCACAGGTGTGTGCCCTGCTTGTTGGCCAAATTGTGCAAAATATCTCACACAAGGAATGAATCGTGTCCAATCATGCATTCACACATTTTATCAGTCTGGTTTAACCTGTTCAGCTATGTAGAAAGTGCAGCTGTTGGTTTGAGGATGAAGCCAGCAGCAGCGAAATGTTTCCCCCAGGATTGGGTTGTAAGGCTTCTTCAGACCCTGGAATGTGCAAACACACACAACAGTGTTAGTATGACCTTCATCTAGTATCAACTAGCATCATCTTCTAACACAAACACATTTTATCTCTCAAAGGATGAGTGTAAAAAAGAGTGGTTCAATATGACAATAAATATAAAAACAGCTCATTCTAAGGTAACAAAAACAATTATTTTTTAGGATATATATTTTCAGGTCATTATACACTAATGAAAAACAATACCCTATGAATGTTATATTCCAATTTCTGCCAGTATGCCCTGCATACATGTTACACACTGGACCTTGAAAAAGTCGAGTGTGGAAATAGTTTGATGTTTTTTTGTCACACTTGGGTAAGATTACAGTTTCTTAACACTTAACCAATAACTGGTGCTGAGGACCAAATACATTGCAGATGATCACTAAGTCAAACTGGCCTCACCAATGAGATTTAAAAAGTTAAGTCACCGATAATAAGCATCAGCATGGAGCACATTACCACTAATGCACAACACTGCAGGCAGGCAGTCCTGGAGATGTTTTAATAATGATAAGTTATAATGTTTCTTGCCATCCATTTCCAGTGAGTCTCCTCCTAGGTCAGCTAGAAAAATGCTGAATAAGCCCAGTTTAATCTACAGGCTTTATCTGCTGCCACTGTTGGCAGTTTTGCTGCCACTGTTGAAATCAATTCCTAACGAGAGGTGGGAAGTGTCTCCTGACGTTTCTACTGCACAAACAGATCCAGGACATGGAGTCATTTGTCAAGCGGCCAGAGATACAGTGTCACAGAACGTCGTGTCAGAGGATGGTGAAACCCAAAAACAAAATGTCTGAAAAATGCTAACACTCGGAGAAAATCTTCCAGTTCCTGCAAAACAACTGCTTCTAAGAGACTGAAAGGAGTGTGTGTGTGTGTGTGTGTGTGAGAGGGAGACTGAAAAACACGGAGGAATGCTCACTAACAGAGCTTTTATTCAGCTGCAAGCTTTGGCAATCATAAAACAGCTGAATTCTCTGGTTACTGGTTATGTTTACTGTATTTAATGTAAAAAAAATAATTTATTTGAAACAGAAGTCTATTGTTATTTAGTTTTGCTGATTAACTGTATGCTTTAACTTGCCCTTTGAAGAGATGTGAATACAGTACAGCAGCCTACATATCATTTATCTTTATCCAAAAACGGGTGTTGTCCTTTATTTGTATGATAACAATGAGCCATGTGGTATAGTGGTAAACAAATCTTACCTTAGGCTTCTTGTAGAAGCCAGACAAGTACCATCTCAACACCTGCTTGATCCGACCGTATGCACTCTCCTCCAGTGCAGCTCTGTGGCAGGAAAGATGGTGAAATTAAGACACAGTTATGACCAGAAAAGCATACAGATATAATACAGAGTATAGTGACTTTAAGTTACTGACTGTGATAGCAGATCCGCGTGGTAGTAATAGTCAGAAAGCTTGTCCAGGAAAGAGCGTGGCTCCAGGATGAAGGTGGGTAGCACCACCTTGGACAGGTCCATGCCTGGCCGCAGCTGCTTCAGCAGGCCCCAAATCAGACCCTTGTTCTCCTCTGATACAGTTTCCACCTGGGACGCCTCCCCAACCTTAAGTAACACACAGACATGAGAGCACATGAGTGAGGTTAGGAGAGAGTATGAGAGAGCATATAAGAATTTAAGAACACAATAGAATACTTCAAAACAGTGAAGATGTATTTACATTTTCTTGCTGTCGTTTCAAACATAAAACTGCTGTGAAGAAACTGTAACTCCAACAAAACAAGGTAGATCTCTCCACATTAATGCTGTAACAACTCAGCACCTCACCTCAGCCATTTCCTCTGTGCTCTGCTCTACATAGGCTGTGGCCTGTGGCCCGGGGGACAGCTCGTCTGATTGGTCCATGTCGCTCTCCTCTGTTAGCCTTCCACCAATCTCATTGGCAGTAGTGTCCCAGTCATCATGAGCCTCGCGCTCAGATTTGTCTGAAAACCCGTCATGCTCCATGTGGTGATTGCCCAGCAGCACAGTGTCATTTAACCTAACAGAGAAGTGAAACCCAAGGTTAGAACTATTTTAAGCAACCCTGATTTTCAAGCCTTTTATTTGCTACCGCATGTCCAGTCAAACATATTCTGAAAATGCTGTTATAAATTACAGATGAAGAATAATCACAGGATTTAATTCGGTGCTTCCTCTCTTAAAATGTGTGTGCTGATCTTTTGATTTATGGCTGTATCTTAATAGATCTGAAGTGGTATCATATGTGGCTCTCATAATGTCAGCAAGTCATTACACAGGGATAATCTAATTGAGTGTGGAAGCCTGAGGAAGTTTTAATGACCACAATTAGGCTTTCAAGCTGAGTAATGTCACATGACATTGCAAACATCTTAATTTTACTTGCCAAAGCTTTGATGATTGCCTTTCCAATTCAGGCAATCCAACACCGAATGGACTTTATATGTGTATTAAATATGTGATGTTCTCTGGTATCCTCCTCCTGGCTCATGGCTATGATGACTAAGCCCGCTGCGTTAGAGACCATCCACTATAAAATCCTGGCTGACCTGAAGGGCCTGGATGGGTTCAGTAAATGACATGTCTGGTTGCCAGGACAACCAGACTACAGCACCTCATCATCCTTATCCTCCTTCATTTTCCACCTCTCATTCACTTGTTCTGAATGTGACTGGCTACAATCAGGGAACACAAACACGTTTGTATTGTATGCCTTTACATGTAAGCGCACACGCACACGCACACGCA